TCTTTTGTCACCATTTAATTGTAATTTTTAGTATTATTTATCGAAATGGTTTTGTTTTGTTTTTCAAATGATCAATTGATCATCATATTATAGAAACACAATTCTTCTATTACCAGTCAAGTATTATCAGTTGAAGTGACGTTCTCTCTCTCTCTCCCCTTTTTTTATATTGTTTATTGGTATTCTTTTAGAGATAATTCTAAGATATTATAGAATATTAAATATGAACAAAAACTTTTTAAAAATTTAAACCTTCATTTATCATGTTATGAGAAACCAATCTATCTTGTTAGACAAAATGATAAAGTGAAGTTTTCTTAAATAATAAGGCGTTTGTTGTCTTCTTAGAATATTATTACAAAACTTGCACACTGCCAAAGAAGCGTCCATCTCAATCTAACTAACTTCCAAGGCATGCACATGCAAAATAATTCACATCACACCTTATATGAATATGAAAAAACATAATGATAAAAACAGACATAAAAAATTATAGAATCTTGAGTGGACCCATCGGCAGTAAGTTATACGCATAAGGCCCAGATCCATAATGACAAGTAAGCTAGCCCAAGTTCATCATCATTATTTTGGCCTTTGGCACTCACTGCAGAAAATGGCGTCACGCCAAGAGATTTGCACAATGCAAATTTAATTGAAAAAATTATAAATAAATTTCATATAAAAAATTATTTATAAATAAGTCTCATAAATTTGTGAAAATACTTTTAAGTCCAATGGAGATTGTTTTGTTTATAAGTAATTTATCATGTCAAATAACACTATGTTTACCCTCCTTTGACTAGTGTTAACTAATACTGCCAAAGAAAATGATAAATAAAATGCCCTATATTGGACAATTATTTGTGAAAAATGATAAATAAAAAAGGTGGAGAATGCTTGACGGTTATTTCAAAATAAGTATCAAGTTATTAAAAAACACTTATTTGATAGTTATTTTTAAATAATTGTTAAATATATTAATTATTTTTTTGATTGAGAATACATATATTTATCATTTATTTGATATATTTGATGGTTATTTACTATCAAACATCAAATAGATAATAATTTTATTTAAAAAAAATATTTACATGAGATTTTCCCCTTCTAGCATGCCTGGATCACGAGCGATTCACCCAAGAATTGCAGGATAGAAATTTATGGCACTGGTGGGACACATACAAGTGTGATGCCACCAAAAACTAGGACTAAATAATTGTCAAATATATCAAGTATATATTTAATGTTTATTTTCAAACAAGTGTCAAATATATTAAACTTGATAGTTTGTTTGCAATAATCATTAAATATTATGCTTTAAAATTTCCCTAGTGCCCATTTCCATTTTGCATTCTAAAGAATACTTAGCTATCGAAAGCACTCCGAACGATGCCAAGAACCATTTTCCTGCAAACAAAAACACCATTTCAACCTCATATGTGTCTGGGCTAGTTGTTGTTGTTGTTGTTGTTGTTGTGTTATTATTATTATTATGGTTGTTCTTCGTCATGGTTGCCTCCGTCGCCATCGTATCATGCTCATGGGCGTTAGAAGCTCACTATTTTGCATCTTGTGTCATCTTCTCGAGGGGCGTTCATCTCAACTTTTTCTGTTTCTGTTTTATGGCATTTTTATCGGTGTATTTTTGCGTGGTTTCTCCCCGTTTTGATTAAGCTCTTACAAATTTGTTCTTTCTCCCCATTTCTTCGATGCTGGCACGGGATTTCTCTTGATTGAGTTTGAAAGAAATTGAGTCTTAATGGAAGTGAGAACGTGATTATTGTTTATGTTTTGAATTCTTTTATTGTAATTGGCACTCTAGTTAGGTGATGTGTTGTGAATTCCATGGACTTTGTGTAGTTAAATGCCATGCCTAGAAGGTGTTTGTAGCTTGACCCATGTGTTTAACATTAATGTCATTTGTTAAATTAATAAAGAATGACCTCTCTTGTTGTTGGTGCTTTGTAAATTATTTGTTGTTGTTGTTGTTGTTGTTCTTGTGGTGGTGGTGTTGATAGGTATGATTTGTTGGGTAATTTGATTATGTATGATTTAGTTAGATTAGACTTTTAGGATAAAATTTTAGTCTCAAGATAGGGCATAAAGCTTGAGAAACTCTCTTCCTCTTTTTTTTTTTAAATTGTTATGATATTGAGTTTTTTTTTTCTGGCTAGCATTTAAAAGAATTTATCTCTAGGATAAAATCTTTATTAGGTTAGGTTAGTTATTAGTTTAAATAGTTAAAAGCCCTTAACAAGATTAAAAGAAACATTGTGCAAGAAAGTGACTAGTGACTCATAGATTACCCTTTCTCTTTTTAAATCAAAAATTATTTTCCTATGTTTTTCTAGCTTGTGAAAAACACTTAGTGACTAATGAGATAAATAAGTTATGAGTGTTGGATAATGCATTTGAAGACAAGGAATGATATTGGTTGAAGTTAAAAGCATAGTGAAAGCTATGCATAATCTTTAGAAGATTTCGGCATAAGTACACATGAGATGGCTATGATGCTGGGGCACGTAATGTCGCATTTAGGGATATTATTCATTCTGAGGATGGGCTCTATTATAGACCAGGTTCGTTTGAAGTCATTTGGGATGATGCTTTAAATAAAATCCTTAAGCATGAAATGGCAAACACTAGTTTGATAAGATAATTCTTCAATCGTGCTCGATTAATTGCTTGAATTATATATCCTATATACATATTAGCTTGTTTATTTTTACATCCCAATTATCTTATTTGTAATCTTTGATGGCCTCGAATCAAGGTTCAAGCTAGTTAGTCCTCAAGACATCTCTTCCTACAATGATATTACTAAGAAAGCCCTTGAAGATTAAGCAAGGAAGCATTTGGATCAATTCAAGGATGAAGAGCAGGCAATGATACTTTATTTTTTATTTCCCATTGCCAAGGGTGAGCCATTTTCTAACCACTTTTGGTATGTAAATATTTTTTATATTTAGCTATTTGCTAACACTTGTTATTTCTTATTGGGGGCATTGTATGCTTATGGTGGTTAATCTTATTACTCTGAAGGCATGGTATCTTGATCCTCTCAGGGGAACCAAACAACAAGAAAGATATGGTAGAATTTTTTAATAAATAAGTTGAATTTTTACTTGTTAATTTAATTTCCATATATAATTTCTCATATCTAATTTTCTTAGAGCTATGGTGTTGTATCACACTGCTACTAATTAGATTGTCTCCTCCAACTTGAGGGCTTTTGACTTTCTACACACATGGACTACGATAAAAGTATTTATTTAATTGGCTAAGTTTTAAATCAATAAACCATCAATTCTTTTACATTGTCTACTCTAACTATATCATAGCAAGGATTGTGGTTATTACTTGATGAGATTCATGAAGGACATCATCACCGATATCCTTATGACAGTTCCTGACAAGATATATATTAAACTTAATTACATTAGATTATGAATTATAACTAACTTTAGTTAACTAATAACTTGATTTTGTTATGGCTCTTTGCATACAGTATTTCGAGGACATCTATTGTGTAAGGTATGTAGCTATGCATATAGAAGAAGTCCTTGAAAATGTGTCCATGTTGGTGTTTAATATGTGAATAGCGTCAATGGTTAGGCGTAACTAGTTTAGATATATATATATATATATATATATTTATACATCCATTTTTTAGCCAATTTTTATGTTTTAGGCCACTTCTCTTAGGAATTTTATTTGCAAATTAACTAAGATTCCAAATTTATTTTTAGGGTTTAGTGTTTATATAGAAATTTTAATGTATTTGGATAGTAATTTTAATGAAATATAGTGATTTATTTATGGTGTAAATATTCTAGTTGTTATTTCAAAATAAGCACAAAGTTTGGATTTATTTGAAGTATATTTGATTAATTTTCACGAAGACTTGACCTGGTTTTTACCAAATTTACTTGATAGTTATTTCATTGACAACTGTCAAGTATTAGCTTTCAGAACAAGTCAAGAGTTAAACTTGAAAGCAAATACTTGACTGGAAGAAAATACTTGACTATTATTGCCAAATAATCATCAACTAAAGCAACAAATAACTGTCAAATAAATCTTTTTTTTTTGTATTAGTGTAAGGGAGAAAAGTTAAAAAAAAAAATAAGAAAGATATTTCCTTTCGCTAACATAAAATTTTTCCTTTAACTTTATCCCCTCTAAAAGGAAATTAGGGAAAAACAATAGTGAAAGATGTTTTTCCTCTAATTTTATCTCTCAAGGTTTTTCTCATTCTTATTTTCTATTTCAAACAAAGCCTCATTCTTATTTTCTCATTCCTGTTCAGTGCAAAAGAGGAATAGGAAAAGAAATAGTAGTGAAGAAGAAAATAAGCTCTTTCCCATTAATATGTTGACAAGTCTTTCTTCCAAGAGAGTCATTTTACCATCTAGTTATTAAATAACAAACGCAACTAAAAATACTTTCACCCTTATTTTTCCTTTTCTCAAATGTCTTTTCTGCATGCTAAATGCGACCTTAATATGTAGAACATAACTTTCTATGCTATCTATAAATTAACATGCAAACTGTAAAGGTTTAAAAGCCCTAAAGGATGACAATAACTATATACAATTGATATAAAAGTAGTTTGAGTAATATACAATATAGATCTTATTTATAAATTATTTTTAATATTTTTATTGAAATTAAAAAAATTTTAAATTTTATTAATTCTATCTAAAAATTCAACACGTCTTCAACTTTACATTTATTAAATATACATACTTTAAAATAAAATATTTTAATATTCATGTACCTTATAAATAAGACTTAAACAGATCTTCCCTCTTTATCTAATAAAAAGGACCACAAGAATATTCAATAGACTACAATTAATAGTATCCACTTTCAGATACACTACTAGCTACAGTATGTAGTCATCTCAAAACGAGTATTTTAGCATCTTAATGCTCATGCGCACGCACATGTGAGCACATAAATTGCAAAAGATTGTATCGTATATAATCAATTACACTTCAAGGATGTGGAATATTGTCTCTTGTGCTTGTTTGTGGGAGTCCAGTGAACAAATCAGTTTCCACATTTAAGGATGCTAGATTTTCACTAGCTTTCCCTGTCACTTGACATGGCTCTATACCATACTGCACAGTAAAATCAATTTGTAGTCAGTTTGTTATCAACTAATGAAATAATTAACGTTACAAGCATTTTATACGTTTGCATTAAAAATAATGATCCATATCAAATGGATCACAGTATAATCACCTTCTGACAGAGCCTTGCGTTTTCTGCTTCTAGGGCTTTTCCCTGGTTAGCAATATTCAAAAGAAGTCAGCAATTTTTTATAGCGTAAATATTCCTTCAATGGAGTCAAGCTGGATCATCCATAAATAACGTACGCTATAAATTAAAAATATTTTTTCCCCAGATATTGGACAAGACAAGACAGAGATTCGAAGATAAGCAGGTTGAGTTGATCATTACTATAAATGTAAATATGTCTATGGAAAATGGAAACGCGTGCCAAATCTGTTTTTAAGAATGTGTTTGATTATTAGAGGAAAAATTCAACTGCTATTAAATTCGTTAAGTACTATATAGGCCAGATAGCTAGGTATAATGATTAACACAAGTTATAACTTAGGGACAGAGTAAAAAATGAATATGAGTATGCGCGAGTCATGCATGTCACTGTTACACTCATAATCTATTTTATATTTTTTTTGGTGAAAATAATCTATTTATTTTATATTTATCTCTCACAAAGTGCATCAGATATGCAATCATTTATTTGTCAAGGTAGTAAATATAAATTAATGCTCTTTATATTTATTTATAAAAAAAATTAAAGGGAGTAAATATTATAGAAAGTGTAATACTAAAAAAATATTAATAAAATTTTATTTTTATTAAAATAATTTATATTTTGGAGCGCTGAATTTCTTTCAAATATATTTTATAAATTGAAATGAAATGTTTACTTCATGATCTTCGAACATAATTATAAATTATATTCTGAACGGTGCACATAATTATAAGTTTTCGTGTTATAATTATAAAAAAAAAAACATAACAAAATATTAAATAATATTTTACTGTAGAAAAACAGTATTTTCACTGTATAAGGAACAATAATTTTAATGCAATTTATAAAAGGTAAGATTTCTTTATTTTCATTTTTCAACAGTTCTCACAATTAATCAATGATAAATAAATGCATCATCACATCAATCATCAAGATAAAATATCCAATGCAATTACACTATTATTACATTAAAACTAAGGTTAAAGTATAAAAAATATTCATAATTTTTTTTTGTAGAAGTCTCGGGTATTAAATTAACAATAATGCATAGATATTTATTGATTTTTTTAAAAGAGGCTAACTTTTTTTAATTATTATAATAGCTTGACATTGACTATTAAGTTTTAAAGATAGAACCAAACTGATTAAGGATGTTGGTTCCTTTTATAAAATTAATAGTATTTATGTATTATTATTGACTTAAAAATATTAAAAAATTTTAAAATTTTTGGACATTTTTGCACTTTATTCCTTACATTAAACATCAAGCTACACACGGTGCAATTCATTTTTAAGATTCTGGCTCATGTTGTGGCTCATCATGCTCCTTGTCATTAGTTCAAGCATCAAATCACCTTCTCAATTAATACGGACAACTTACCTTGTCTTTTAGTCGCTCCTTTTGTTCCGTAAAAGCCTTAATCTGAAAAATAGATGGATGGGATATAATATAAATTAAACATTATTTTGTGACAAAAAAAATCTATATACTAAGTTAACCTTTCTTGCTTGAACATTTATCACACTCCTTTCCAACTGTTGCTGTATTTCTAGTAGTTCATCAAAGGAGCATGATCCCAATCCTTCTCCCATGAGTTTCCTGAGGGATTGAGATACAAAAGCAGAACGTTATATGGTTTATGGTCAATCCATTGTCACATCATCTTTTAAGAAATTGGATAAAATAATAGAAGTTCAAAGTAGGCATTGAACCGTTTTGAAGCTTCAAGAAGCTCAACCTTCTCCATCTTCCTATCTGTTTCTTCCTTTAAGAGATGCCATATTGACAACACGATGTCATTCAAGCGATATATCAGCAACATATACAACAGAAAACTATAAATTAATGAATCGAATACTAAGGTCGATTTGTCAAAGGTCTCAAGTCTCTAGCCATCAAAGTCAAATGTTTCTTTTTCCTCTGTATTAATCTTTTGTCATGAGACGCGTCAATGATCAAATTTATGTATAAAAGAATCTATAATAATATAAAATATATAGGATTGCAAATACAACTCACTTCTATCTTCATACAAAGCATTAGACTGCATACAACGAGATTTGAACTCCTACCATTGTGAATTGTGGTTGTATTCTTATCAGTTGGACCATATTTGCATATTTTTTTGCGCCATGGGTGTTTTTATTTTTATTTTTAATTTAGAGGGGCAGATACTAATGATTGGAAGTTACAAGTAGGATCAAACCTATGACTTTGTACTTATGGGAGAGCTTTCATGCAACTAAGCTACAAGGGTATTGGTTATGGATAGATTTGTTAAATGTGCATTACATGTATATAAATATTTGGAAAACCTAGAGGCACAAGATTTCCAAGTTGTGGATCTTTCTTGGGAGAATTATTTATGTTGTTATTCTTCTAAACTTAATTGTTAATAGACTCAGGAGTAATTAATTGTCTTAAGTAGGACTTGTCCCATTTTTCTTTTTACATACATTGGTATCTAAATATTATGAATCGTTTTGACAAAGATAAAATGAAGGAAAAAGAAGCAAAAAATAAATTAACATTAATTTTTTCTTCCGTCAGAAAGAGCAACAATTTTTTTTAGGAAGAACAGAGAAAGTATATACTTTTCAGCATTCCTTGATTACAAAGAGAAGTTAAATACCAGAGAATTAATTAAAAATTAACAGGAAGTCAAATACTAGATTAATTAAGAATTCATGCATGACGAAGATAAAAAGGAGAAAAAAAGAAGAAGAAGAAGAAAATAATGACCTTCATATTGTGTTCCAGGAATCTAGTGGCTGTCTCAGCATCTCTGGCATAACTTCGATACCGTTCAATTGTCTCATGCCAGCTGTAGAATCGAGAAGCAAGTAGTTCAGAAAGATGATATATGAAATACAAGTAAAAAATCACATTGTCAAAAAAAAAAAAAAAAAGAAGTGGTGAAAAATCAATATATGAACATATCTATATATCAGTAATGAGCAAGTTGCACGACTCACAAGTCATAGAAGCTAGAAAAAGAGAAGAATTAAACAAAATCATATACTCATTCATGATCTATATATTACTACTAGCATAGGACATGGTTTTGATAATCTTTTTAATCTATTTCTTCCTTTATATCACTATCATATTCTTGGTTAGGGTTCATCATGTCTCTATATGTTACCAAACAATTCGATGTACCTATACGTATTTAATATAATTTGATGGCTGAGGGTGAGGTTTTGTATTCAATTAGATGTGAGGGTGTGTTAGGGTCTAGGAAATAATTGCAGAAAATAATGAAATCACTGTAGGAAATGAGTTGTATTCATTGATAAGTCTCGCAAATCAACTCCTCACTACAAAGAAACAAGCAACAGCAAATGCATAATGGAACGAAACAGAAATTGTAGAAAATTTGCCCAGCAAGAGAGAGAAATGTTAGAAGAAGATTCTATTCTCATAATCCGCATGCCCTCTCCTTTCTTCATGCATGTCATACTTATCCTTTAGTGTCCAGTGCTCTCAGCTTCTATGTGAGTCTCTTGATTTGTTTACTTCATCTTGGCCTAATCTTGTTAATAGCATCTAAGGAGTTTGGGCTTTGTCCACTGTCCGTGCTTGTATTTGGGTTATTGGACCCAACTGCTCGGTTTTGGTCCATGACATGGTCCCCTTCCAAGAGATTGATCTTGCCTACAAGGTCAAATTGAGGATATAGTGATGCGACGCCATCCATGAGTTCCTATAAAGCAACAGTGTCACCATCCTATTGAACCAGTTTTTGAGCTACTTGTGAGCCATCAATTTCCACCTAGCGAATATCAGTGACATCGACTGGATTAATCACGAGTCCTTCTGGCAAAGACGAAAGAGGTAGTGGCAAAGTAGGAGATCCACGCTTACCTATACCATGACATTTCTTAAGAAGTGAGATGTGAAAACAAGGTGGATGTGTGCCATGTTAGGTAATTGTAGGTGATAAGCCATTGAACCAATTTTGCTCACAATCTGGAATGGCCTAAAGTAACGCATTGCCAACTTTTGAAATCGACAGAGTTGGATAGAGTGTTGCCTTTACAGTTGAAGCTTGATAAACACCTAATCGCCGACATTAAACTGGACCTCACGGTGGCGGTGATCTGCAAATTTTTTCATACGCCCTTGAGTAATAGTCAGATTGTATTTTAGAGTTTGAAGTAAGGCATCACATTCCACAAGTTGTTAGTGTAAACTACGGGGTATGTCCTCTGTAGAAGAGTGGCATAATAGGGGAGGCGAAAGCCGACCATAAACAGCTTGAAATGGCGTCATGTCAATAGAAGTGTGATGAGCTATGTTATACCAAAACTCAGCCCAAGCAAAATAATCCACCCATTGAACGAGGATGGTCATGAACAAAACATCAAAGGTACATTTCTAAGCACCATGTAAAGACAAAGCCCAAGTTAAGGTTATAAAGGTCCAAGATAAAAAAAACATTAGAACCAAGCCCATGTTTTGATACAAGCCTAGAGTATAAAGGATTAACTCACATGTTTATTTTTCTTTTCTGTATTCTTATATTTCTTTACTATACAGATGGCTTAATATTGTTTATTCTAGGGTTACGTGCCTTACATATATATATATACATACATACATATATATATATATATGAATGAATACACTCTGGCTACACATGCCAATTATCTAGAAATTCTCCTTTTTGTCCATTTCCCTAACTTGGTATTAGAGTTGCAGCAAAGCTAGCTGCCATGGAAGATCCAAAAACACCCAATACTGGCTCTAGCTTGTTGCTTTCTGCAACTTCATTGTTTAAGACCTTTAATATCGAAACTTCACTAACTCCTTTGTTTCTGTCAAGCTGGACAAGACTAACTATTTGCTGTGGAGGATGCATGTCTTGCCCATTATCAAGGGCTACAAGCTTGAGGGCTTTCTTATTGGGAGCACACCTGTCCTCCTCATCATATTGTGAAAAATGAAACCATTAAGATAAATCCAGCTTTTGAAGACTGGATTGCCACTGATCAAATCTTATTCGGTTGGCTGTTAAACACGATGAACGTGGACATTTCATCTCAAATGACCACTGTTTCTACCTCTTTTAGACTTTGGAAGTTGCTCGACAACTTGCCGGTGCACACATAAAGGCTTACGTTCTCATGTTAAAGGCTGATCTTCAACATACTCATAAGGGCAGCTTGTCTATGAACAAGTATCTCACTAAATTGAAGCATATTTTAGAACAGCTTACTGTCGCAGGGCATTCTATTGACCTTCCTAATCTCATTATTCAACCATTGGCTGGCTTAGATGCTGAATATAATCCTATTATGGTTCAGTTGAGTAAAAAACCTGATGAACTAAGTTGGATAGAGTTTCAAACCTCTCTTCTCACCTATGAGAGTCGTATGACTCAACTTCAATAATTTTCTCAGCTGTCTCTTTCCAACAATCTTATCAACTATGCTTGGATTGAATATATAAATCCTTTTTGTGGTTCTTGGCATGGGGGCAGACATAATCGTACTGGACGAGGAAAAGGTAGAGGTAGTCGTGATTTTGGTAAGAATGAGGATTGTCTTAAATGCCAACTCTGTGAAAGATTTGGGCATAAGGTTGACACATGTTTTTATTGCTATGATCGTTCATTTGTGAAACTAGGAAACAAACATAATGGTGGTTCTGTTTCTGGTAATTCTAATGCTGATTTCAGTGCCTTTTTTGCTACTTTTGAGACAGTGAATGATGACTCTCGGTACTTAAATAGTGGTGCTGCATCTCATGTTACCAATGATGTTAGTAAGCTGGATACTACTCGTGATGTGATTGGTAAGACTAAAATTGTTGTTGGTAGTAGACAAAAGCTTTCTATTGAGAAAGTAGGGTCTACAACACTTTAAAATATGCCTAATCAATTAGTGAAACTTCATAATGTTTTATACTCACCAGCTATTAAAAAGAACTTACTAAGTATCTATCAAATTGCTACTGATAATGCTATTGATGTGACCTTTAACACATATCGTGTTTCTATAAAGGCTCAAGAAATAGGGGAGATAATGCTTCAGGGTCGATTGAGTAATGGAGGCATGTACCGAGTACTTAAGGATGGAGAGACTGGAAATGAAGATCTTGTTTATGCTGTTCATGAAGTCCAAGAAGATGATAATTCAACACCCAGGGCTAGTTTTTTAAGAAAAGTTTGGCACTATAGACTTGGTCATCCTAGTGATAGAGTATTAAGTCACATTATTAGTGATTGTAATTTGAAATTATCAAGTTCTAATGAAGATCCTTTTTGTGAATCTTGCAAATATGGAAAATCTCATTCTCTTCCTTATAAAATATCAACTTCTTGTGCCTTTAAACCATTAGAAATTATTCATACAGATCTGTGGGGCCCTTCTCCTATCACTTCAATGAATGGTTTTAAGTATTACATTCTGTTTTTGGATGATTATAGTAGATTTTCTTGGATTTATTTATTAAGAACAAAAGATGAGGCTCTTCCTATATTTGTACAGTTTAAAAAATTTATTGAAAAGCAATTTGATAGTCCTATTAAAATTGTGCAAAGTGATTGGGGTGGTGAATATAAAAGCTTCTCTATTGTTTGAAAGACTCTGGAATTTTATTTAGACACTCATGTCCTCAGACCTCGGCTTAAAATGGCAGGGCTGAAAGGAAGCATAGACACATTGTTGAATTAGGTTTAACATTGTTGGCTCAAGCTAAAATGCCACTTTTCTATTGGTGGGAATCTTGTCACACAACTACTTACTTGATCAATCAATTACCTATAAGTGTTTTGGGAGGTATCTCTTCTTATTTTTGCCTACTCGGTTGATATCCCAGCTATGAAGCATTAAAGTTTTTGGTTCTGCCTGCTACCCTTGTCTAAGACCATACAATTAGCACAAACTTCAATTTAGGACTACAAAATGTGTTTTCCTAGGATATGACAATTCCTACAAAGGTTATAAGTGCCTCGGTTCTACTGGAAAAATTTATATGTCAAGACATGTTGTTTTTAATGAACTTGACTTCCCTTTTGCAATATGTTTTCTAAATAAAAAGTCCTTACCAGTTGAAGAGATTCATCCTTAAAGTTTCCTCCGACCTACAATCTCATCCCTGCCTCAATCATGTCCTCCTGAATCTCGAATTATTGAGTCTCCAATTGCTGCTACAGAACTAGAACGTTTTCTTGATGATGTGCACATTCCTTGTAGTCTCCAATACTTCTCTTAATAGCATTTAAACTCTAGATACATCCTGTTCTGTTGTTTCAACACCACAAAATTTAGCATTACCTACACAACAGGTAGATCAGCAGCAAGATATGCAGTCTAGTCCTCCTTCATCTAGCTCTCCATAATTAGGTATGAATACACATCATATGGTAACCAGGAGCAAAGCTAGCATTCACAAGCCTCAATTACCATATGTTGGTGTTACTATAGTTGAAAATAATGAATATACTGAACCTCACAGTTTCAAGAGGCCTTCAAGTATGAGAAATGGAGACATGCTATGAAAGAGGAGTATAATGCTCTAATTAACAACACATGGGTATTAGTTCCTCACACTAGACGTGACAATCTAGTAGATTGCAAATGGATTTTTAAACTCAAGGAAAACTTTGATGGCACTCCTAAGTTTAAGGTAAGGTTAGTAGTAAAACAATTTCAATAAAATCCAGGGATTGACTTTGAAGAAACATTTAGCCCAGTGTTGAAAACTTCAACACTCAGATTTGTTCTTACTATAGTTGTCACTTTTAGGTGGCAAATTCAACAAATGAACATCAATAATGCATTCTTAAATGGCTATCCACAAGAGCAAGTCTTGATG